TTGTCTTTTGCAATTTTAAATTTGCAGCTTAAGTCCTTAAACTAAAGATATTTACATACAGCCCTAGTTAACTTTAGTTAGCTTATTTTTTAAAATTTATTTTATAAAAAAACTCATTTTCAACCACATATGGACCTATAACTTTTTCCTATTTTTTGGCCACGCATTCTAAAATAAAATTATTTTTTACAGAATTTATTTTCAAAAAGTTTATATCAATCAAACCCTTAATATAATTAACTATGATTGATATATTATTAAATAACCAATAATAATCCATTATTTCTGTATCCCACTGCAAAACACGACACATAAATACTTTATCTCCAATGGGTTTTGTCCATAATTCAAATTTGAGCTTTTGTGTATATTTTATAGGGGAGAGAAAAGTAGCAAACATGAGAGACAAGAAATAAGAAACAAGAGAGACAAATATTAAATCATGGTAACTCATCCCGTCTAAAAGAGTTTTCCATACGCTTCACCAAGATGTGGTGTAGCAATATGACTTAAGAACCTCATCTCTAGTAGCATTACATCTACAATGGTCTCCACATGAATAATGTCTTCATCAAGCATCGGCTTTTGTTGAACCTCGCATAAGCTTAAGGGCGTTGATGCACTCAATAGGTTCATCATACAAGGGCCAGTTAAAAAGGACCTTTGCCTTCAATGATCAGCTTCTGTGTCATGATGATTTGGACAACTAGACTGTGGGATTAGGATGATATGTTCTACAAGGAAACCACTCTATCATTTTTAAATAATCGCCTAGAATCATTTGTGATCAAGAAGGATCTGGGAGAATGATCTTCAATAGGGTAATTCAATTGGGAAAGGAAACAATATTTTAATAGTCACAAATACAATTCCCCAGCCAATGGGGGCGTTACATGGGTGAATTAGGATTTGCAACATATAAATACAATTTAATCTCGAAAGTCACCAATGAATATCCTTGCATAGGTTAATATCACATTTACGCAATTTTTTCATTGTAGCCAAAACTCTACTTTCTTGTCTCTCCCACATCCCATGTCCCTATGTTCTCGTTCTTAATTGACTTGCTAGTTGACTTGATCATCAGATTACCAACGATCACTTGTCCTTTTTATGAAACGAAGATCTTGGTACCTAACTATCTATAGTATATTAAAATATTACATCAATGGAGAATAATTTTAAGGACGATTTTAACCCTGTTACATTTCAAATATTTCAATAATATCTTACTTTTTGTTTTTGGATAAGTAATAAATACTACATAATTATTGCCATTTATGAAATTCGTGTTATTAATTCTCAATTAATTAACATTCACTTTAACCTAGATTCAATAAATTTTCATTTAATGAATCTTGAAATATATGAATCTAGAGTTATTATAAATGAATTTATTCATATTTATGTATTTAAATATTTTAATGGTTGTTTAAATTCATGTATTAACAATTAATTTGTATGTATCAAATATAATATAAAAAGATTGATCATTCATAGTATTTCATCATTACAAAAAATTTAAATCACAGAAATTGAGTTTTGAGAGTACATTAACATTCATGTTAACCTAGATTCAATGAATTTTCATTTGATGAATTTTGAATTATATGAATATAGAGTTATTATAAATGAATTTATTCATATTCATGTATCTAAAAATTTTAATGATTGTTTAAATTTATGTATTAACAATTAATTTTTATGTATCAAATGTAATATAAAAATATCGATCATTTATAGTATTTCATCATTATAAAAAATTTAAATCATAGAAATTGAGTTTTGAGAGTACAATTTGAGTAAAATTTTCCTTTCTTAAAATTCTATGCTAAATTTTATTTTCTTTATTTCGTTTAAGACTTATCAAATCCTCTAACAAATTGGTACTAAATATTAGTTTTACATCACTTATAAAGTATTTTAGAATAACGTGTAATGCACGTTTAACTTTGACTAGTTTCTCCAAATGTGCAGATAATATATAAGTTAGCAAGGTGGTGACAAGGGATATGTTGACAACAATGTCATTCTAATTTTTGAGCTCAATGGAGATAATACAACTTTGCCACAAAAAAAAAAAAAAAAAAAAAAAAAGTAGACTAGAATTTGAATTCTCACCATATTGGTGAGAATTCAAATTATATGGTGAGAATTCAAATTCCTTGAAAACAAGAAAAAATACAATTTCCAAGAAATCTAAGAAATTCAATTACATGGTAAATATAAGCTATCAAACACCCTCTTTGTGAAAGTTGAAATCTAAATTCCATTTTCTAGGGAAAATTTTGTTGAATCAAACGATGCCTAAACATTTTAATTTAGTTTTCAAATGAGAACTATCCTATTCTGTCCAATTTCTTGATCTTGAACCTCTCTTATTTGTATAAAATCAACACTATCATAAAAAATATTACTTTGAATGTTTTCTCGGATTTTGTCTGTACTGTTAAGTTCTTAAACCTAATTCGCCAATAAAGAGTTAGCTTGCTCTTATGATGTTGGGAGTCCTTGAAATAATATGCACTAAATCCTCCATAGCTTCCCTCAATTTTGGACCTGCATGGAGCCAGTGATTTTAAAGTGATTGATAAGCCCCTGCTTAACAGAAGAGTTGCTGAATCTGCTAAATACGCCCTTATCTTTATTTATGGATGAGTCCAGCGACTTTTAATCCTTTGTAAGTCAGTCCCTGTATTTTCTGCATAATTAATTTCGGTCCATAGAGGCTCACTTAATAATAAGATAGGCTTAGTAGTTATAAGCACGGGCCTTCAAAAGAAACATGGCCCTACATACCATGTCCCAATGTAGCCCCAACAAATTTATCTTGTCCATTAGACCCAAGTTTTCCATCACTAACAACGGTGACCCTTTTCTCAGTTCACCTTCAATTAGACTCATTGGGCCAACTATCCACGATAAAGGGCAACATACAAAATAACCTTAAAATTAGGGATGTTTTGAAAAATCATATGAAAAAATTTTTGGAAATAAAAAATATTGTGTAAAATTAAAAAGTGACACAATGCCACTTTTAAAAATTTAGTATCACTTTTTTTATTAAAAAATAACATACAATGTTAATTTTATTAAAAAGTGATGTTTCTCACTAAAAAAAGTGACAGAAATAAAAAAATAAAAAAAAGATTGAAAAAAGTGACAAATGCTAAAAAAAAGTGACAATATTGAAAAAAGTGATAAAATTTAAAAAAGTGACAGAAATTTTAAAAAGTGACGAATTTAAAAAGTAACACAAATTAAAAAAAAAAAAAAAGGTGTTCCACATATTCAAAAAAAGTGACAGAAAATTAAAAGGTGACGAATTTAAAAAAATGAAAAAAAAAATCTCCTCCGATATAGAAATGGAGCAAGAAAATTGGAGAATATCGATATACACCACAGAAGGAACCGTGTGATTTAATAAATTTGTAGTTTGATACATAATAGTGCGAAATGCATCTACAAAGATGATAACAAACTGAATTGCAAACTTCAATACTTGTATGCAGATTTCCAACCTCTGATTCACCATTTGTACAACTTTTTTTTCTACTTATTTATGTAGCTTTTCCTTCTATTCTCCGCTTCTTCTTCCCATCATTTCACTCATGTAAGTAACAAGTGTATATATAGCATAATAATTGTGGTCGTATTTGTTCATTTCTTATCATATGAAGCAATTAAAATTTAGCATTTTCAACTCCCAAAGGATAAAAGTGAAAACATACTAAGAAGAGCACACAGTTAGTCAAAAAGGTGCAATTGCAACTCATTCAATGCCTTATCGGCCGTAGTAGCCACTTCTAAATTCCTCATCCATCTCAGTACTCTATACATCCTCCAAGTCTTCGTAACAATCACTGTGATCACTAGCAATTGAGCTTCCATAAACGAATTCTTCACTTTCACCAATCACCGACTGTTTTTCCTCCAAAACCTCAAGCGATGAAGTCTGAAATTCTTCAAGTTTGAATTTCGATACAGGTGTAGCAACACAATGACATTGATTGGGTGAGAGGGTTTCCTTTGGGAGCTTTCTGAAAATAGGGACCGATGGTTTGGGGTCATGGGGAGTGGGACGGGTGGGTTTGATAGTTTTAGAATGCATTAAATACGTGATGAAATCATTTAATTAATTAATAGGATATTAATCAAATTAGTTAATTTTTTTTAGAGCATTGGGCCTAATTTGCTCCACAATAAATTGCTCCATCATTATTAGGCTCAATTAAATCAACAGTATAATGCCCTAAGTGAAATCATATATACCCATAAAGAGAAAAAAAAAAATATTCCATTATATACTATTATATGATAATATATTTATAATATACTGTATAACATAAATAAATATACAAATAATACTGTTTAAAAACTTTCTCTTTTATTCTTTTGTAATTGAAATTTAAATCTAAATACATTACGCTCATTAAATTGTAATTGCAATGGATATGCAAAATTCAAATTCAATTACTTTTCTCGTGAACAAGATTCTGGAATTCGACAAAAATGGTCACTGTACAACTGCGAGAAATACACAAAAATCAAAATCGACTTCATCATGTTCGTTATCTTTTGGTTTTTGTCAATTATTTTATATAATTTGCATTTTGATGAAACAGTAATGTTATTGAACGTGATATATAACTGTGATTGATTTTGGATATAATGACATAAAGCTGCCATAGTGTGGAAACTCATCTACCCGGAATCTGAATTCTTTGAATTGGGTACAGACTAGCGCGTTTCGTATATGGGTTTTTTAAAATTAATTCAACCCATCACATAGATTCTTACTAACAATTGACTGTAATGTCCTCTGGTAAAATTTCTAGGCTCAAGAACATTCTTGTACCGTTATCTGTCATCAGAATTTGTGTTATCTCGATGCATATAAGATTGCAATGTTTCTGGTGGTTGGTTTATTCATTCTCCTCCTCACAAAGCAAGATTTTATGTTTAATTGTGCTTCTAATTAACATGCCTTTCTGTGACAGAAATCTTATGCTGTTGTCGATTCAGTTAACGTTTTCATTACATGCAATACTGATACATCGGGAATTCTGGTTATTATTGGTTGCAAATATGTGGACCTCATCATATAATTTCAGCTAAATTGAGCACTCATAAGAGGGTGGCTGATCTCAAAATAGAATATGATGTAGGTGGTGATATGGCTCCAATAAGGATTACAAATAATCAATCACTCCGTTCCTACGTTAAGTTAAAATAACACATAACCTGGAAGCTATAGGGACAACCAGTGTTTTGAAGCAGATGCTTTCCAGGATACATGAATCAATCATACGTTTTTTGTGAATATCATATGTCTTTCAGGAAATAATATAAATGTTAACATTTTACTTTTTATATTTCCACCTACGTATCTGATTTCATGTATGCGATTTTGTATCTCTACTAGTTGTAATAACTAGAAATGATTGTGGATTATTTGGATCTTAGATCACGTCATATGATTTTTCTTGGAAATCTGTATATCTTATCTAATTGATTGTGAAGAATGTATGACTGTTGCATATCATTGTGTACTATCTCTATAGCTGCAATTGTGAAAGTTCGTGGAATTTTAATTGGAATGTCTCTATGTTTTCATCCCAAGAAAACGGGGAGAATAATGAAGAATACTCCGAAATGTAGCATTCAATTCAGTTCATTGTGTGGCATTGCACCCATGCTACAATATAAAAGAGGAACGTCAGTAACAATCTTCACAAGAGGCTTGACCATTCCAATTCGATCAGCAGTGCTGGCTTGCCAAGCATTTATCATCACTATTATGTGTGAACTACATAGCCCTAATCACGGGAACATGATGATCTTGAAATTGATTTCTTGAATGATATTATAGGTTATGGTGTTTGCTGTACATCTGTATAGGATTAATCTTTGGGATGATTTTGGGATTTCTTTGCTGGAGCCTTCTTCCAATAATAGATATTCATAGAAATTGAAAGGGCAACCATTGCAGATTTTGATATTTGTCAAAGTATAGGAAGAGCACGTTTAGTGGAGTAAACTTAGTTGCCATATTTAATAACACTAGAAATTGGGTTGTTTTTCCCATTTCATATTTACTTATATTTTTGTAGTAATTGTGGGATAAAAAAATTTAATACGTATTTTTTGAATATTTTTTAAATATTGGGTAGGTGGTGTAATTTCCATTTCATTTAAAGAAGTTGGCCCAAACTACTATTATCTTGTGAGATTTCAGCTAAATGGTTGCTAGACAGTGGGCCCTATAAACTTTTGACCCATTTAAAGATGACCCACTTATGTAATTTATCTAAATAACATTTTATTTAGAGCAAATTATATAAACTTTCCATGCTATTGTGTAAATGTTCTTATTTCACTCGAACACCTTATAAAACATATTAAGAGATGTGGCATAATCCCTTGTATTTTGAGTATTATTTGTATATATATATCTGAAAGATTTGAGATTTTACCCATCAGAAAATTAATTAGTCCGAAGATAGGTTACATGTCTTCTTCCTAAATTTGTATTTTATTTTTATTTTCAGTAAATAAATACTTTTACTTTGTCATGGTAATTTAATTAAAAAGAAAAAATGGGTCTACAAAATGTGTTGCACATTGTTGGCCCTCCAAGAAGTTGAGAATAATTTCTTAGGAATACATGAGTTCTGTGGACAGCAAAAAAGAATAAAAAAAGAGAGACAGAAATGACAAAAAGTAAAAGTGAAAAAATAAAATAATGTACCTTACTTAATCATAGAGTAATACTATTTAGTTCATCTATAAATACTACTTGCCCTTCTTGATGATCATAGCATATTTACAATTGACTTCCTCGCTAGAGAAAATGACAAAATTAGAGTCGAGTAAGCTGCTTTAACTTATTATTATTATTATTATTATTATTATTATTATTATTATTATTATTATTTATGTTTATTTTTATTTTTTTTGTTTGATGTCTCCAGTTTCCTTATCTTCTTGAGCTCTATTATTTAATTGCTAGTTCAACTAGCATCATTGATATTAAGCTTTGAATGTAACTCTTGAAGCAATGAAGAATATATTACTTTTTGTGGTTCCTTTACACTGTTGGGAACTGTAGTTTTTCTTGACTGTTAGTGCATGTACGTACAATGTCTTGGTATTTTTATTTTTATTTTAATACCAAAACTGTTTGCCACCCAACTTATAGCATTGTTTTATTTAGTCATCAAACTTTTTTTTCTTTTGCTTTAAGTTTGTCATTGAACTTTCATTTTTGATTGGCGAACAGATAACATAAAGCTTAATCGAGCGGGTCTGGGAATTGTGCAGGAGGAGCTAACTGAGGAGAATTTTGAAAATTGGAAAAATTGCTTGAAAAATTATTTTGTTGGGAATGGACTTTGGGGTGTTGTCTCTGGTAAGGAGACTAAACCAGATAAGAAAAACAAACAAGAGCTTGAAAAATGGAAGAAAAAAAATGCTTTGGCTCTGCATGCAATTCAACTTTCATGTAGATCAGCAATGTACTCTGAGTTTAAAGGACACATTTCTGCTCACGATGTATGGGTTCATTTGACTCATGAGAGAGATTGGGACGACGACGAAGAAAGTTATGACAAAGACAATGGTAATGTATCAATCCTTGTGATGCATTAGTTCGTCTAAAATCTCATATTGTTATAAGAAACATGAACTTGCACTATTGGTTCTCATTCATTAAAAATGAGCGAGTTATCAACCTTCTATTGCAGTTGCACAATTAGTTCAGAGAAACCATTCAAATCTTTGTTAAATTATCATGCAAACCTGGGTAGTTATCTATAAATTTAAGTGAGATATTCCTTCACAAGAACAATGTGGTGGTGCCAATCTTCCCTTTTTTTTCTTTTTTTTTATATATGAACTCTGTATTCGATACAACCACCTTACATACAGGTCGACTTCATTATTTGCAGGGTCGAGCGAGAACCTTGAATATGGGCCATTGTACAAGGCAATTAAAGAAGGTAACTGGCATGCTACTAATGAATTCTTTCAGCGGAACGAACTGTCATTTAATGCAAGAGTTTCAGCACACAAAGAGACAGCTCTGCACATTGCAACTTTGTCTGGACAAACTGAAATTGCAGAAAAACTTGTAAAATCGATGGAGCCACAAGACTTAGAACTGACAAATGGTTATGGAGCTACTGCCTTATCTCTTGCAGCAATCTGTGGCAAGAACAAACTGGCAGAAAAAATGATAAGTAAGAACAAAAAATTAGTTACAATAGTAACTAAAGGTCATGAAGATGGGCGTCTTCCTGTTATTGTAGCTGCATCGTATGGACAAGAAAAAATGGTTCGTTATTTATACAAAGTGACACCAAAAGATGAGCTGAGTCCCGAAAAGGGTGAAAACGGAGTAACACTACTCACTCGCCTTATTACTGCTGAAATTTATGGTATGTGAATGTATAATGTGTGAAGTCTAATCACACTCTTGGATAATTCCGTTAATTGCAGATAAACCTAATACCCATGCATATATACTTCATATTTTAGGTGGCCATTTTGTTTCACAGTAGTGAAGACATAGTTCTCACTTTGAGTGTGTGAAGCACTCAAAATCACTATTTGAATACAATTTATAAATTGTTCACAATTTCAGTCAAAGTGAAACATTAATTTCAAATGTATATTCATAATTACTACTCATTACTATCCACAAATTTTGTGGAATTTACTACTATTCTTCATTATAAATTGATCATAAATTTTGCCAGACATAGGCTTTTTGTTTTTTTTTTTTTTTTATTTCGGTTTACTGTAAGTTTCAGTCGTGATTGAGATTAAGGCTTAATCCATATGATATGGATACCGAATTCTCATTGTTTTCTTATTGTAGATGTTGCTTCTATGCTATTGAAAAAGTATCCAAAGCTGGGTGTTACCCAAGATCAAAGTGGCAATTCCACTCTCAAAATATTGGTTCACAAGCCTTCAGCATTTCTTAGTGGGACTGAGCTTACTTTCTGGGAAAGATGGATCTACCATTGTAAGTATATAAATGCTCTCCTATTAATTTCATTCACAAACAATTACCACGAAGGTACATTTAGATAAATTTTAGTTTCCTTTTCATACTGTCTAGTACAATATAAAAATATAAATACACATGTTGAACGTTGATCGTTTTGAAAAGTATTTTGAATATTTTACACAAGGTATAAGAGTACATACACCTTGGGACAGTCATCATGGGTCCCATGAAAAGGAGCATGTAGAAATGCAAACATCAAATACTAGTCATGATCACAACATTCAAATTTCTGAATCAAGCGACGAAGATGCACACGGTGGCCTAACTATGACTACTCAAGGTACATCAAATAGTCCCTTCCCTTCTTGTTCAGGTCTTCTTCACGCACCTAAATTTAGTTTAGAGTATAAATCAGGCCATGATTGACTCGTGGACCACCCCTGGCTCTGCTCGGCCAGTCCATCTCAGGCCCAAGTCTTTTTCTAAATTTATTTTGAACATGTGAACCCATGTTCCTTCGCAGTTGAGCCCATCCAAATGTAGATGTGGGCTGACCATGCCATGGCCTGTGATGGACCCGGTTGTGCTTTCATGGGTTAAGGCACATTTTGATACCTCTAAGTCAATTCTTGTATTGCAGTTCTAGAATTGGGGTGCAAATTAGGTTGGCGGATATTGAAATTCCTCGGTAAGTATCTCCCTATTTGTATATTATTTCTGCTACACATGAATTGAATTTTTTCTTAAATTTTCAGCTCCAAGGATCAATTACATACACGAGAGGAAGTTAGTCCATGTTGAAGTTGCAAATCTCCTAATTGTCGTGTTTAAAGAAGTGCATCGTCTGAACAAATCAGAGCTCGACGAAATGGACATGGATACAATTATATATGATGCCATAAAGCATGGAATTCATGAATTTATAAAAGAAATGATTGAATATAAACCTGAAATTATATGGAGAAGAGATAAAAAGAGGAGAACAATTTTTTCACACGCAATTATTTTGCGACAGGAGAAGATTTATAGCCTTATATTTGATTTAGGAACAGAGAAGAGGATAATTACAAAGAAGCGTGATATTTTTAAGAACAATCATTTACATCTTGCTGCAAAATTATCTCCTCCTTCTCAACTTGAGAAGGTATCTGGAGCAGCCCTACAAATGCAAAGGGAACTGCAATGGTTTAAGGTAATGTATTTGTGTATCCCATTGTGATTGTTATTCGAGTCAGTGCATCCAAATTTTCATCATCTTATGTTGTTTCTTCTGATACACAGGAAGTCGAGAGCATAGTACAACCCAAACTTAAAGAGGAAAAAAATGCGATCAACAAAACGCCCAAAATGTTATTCATTGATGAACACGAGAAATTAGTCAAAGTAGCAGATGACTGGATGAAAAGCACAGCAACATCATGCATGATAGTAGGCACTCTAATTGCTGCTGTAATGTTTACAACAGCTTTCACAGTACCAGGTGGTAATAGAAATGAGACAGGATTGCCAACAATGTTGGAAACTCAAAGAACTCCATTCTTAATTTTCATGATTTCAAATGCCTTGTCGATGTTCAGTTCGACTACGTCGCTCTTAATGTTCTTAGGAATTCTTACGGCGCGTTATGCAGAAGAAGATTTTCTCAAGTCCTTACCTAAGAAATTAATAATTGGATTGACGTGTCTGTTCTTTTCGATTGTTACCATGATGGCATCCTTTGGTTCTGCATTGTATTTGATTCTGCATGAGAAGTTGTCTTGGGTTACCATTCCGATCATCATCCTCTCAACAATTCCGATAGCAATTTTCTCCATCTTGCAGTTTCCTCTCTTGATTGAGATGACAATTCGGACTTATGTAGGTGGGATATTTGATAAACCTAAGAAGAAATCCTGTTTTGCTAAGTTTCGAGCTTATGGTTGAATAAATAGTATTTGATACTATTGAGGAAGAAAAATAATATTATCGGTCATACTATATGGTACTACTGAATATGGTGCCCCAAATGTGTTGTTTGTTCATTTTGGTTTCTGTCATTTTAAATGTCGATGTATCCATGGTGTTTTTTTTAATAAGAATTCAACTTGTTGAAGTACGTTTCTTTTAGCCACACGCCATTGATGAATTCTATTTCGCCTTTATTAAATTAGAGCTTATGTGCCTGTTCTAACAAACGTTGCCTAACAATATTGTTTCCCTTGTGCCTCATTTTAATAGGAAAAAAATTGATTATTATTTCATTCATCAATCATACATACACTCATTCATCCATAAATAAATGCAATCATTAAAATAAGCACATAGAACGACTCTAGGAATCGATCGACTATGAACTCATGCAATAAATCAAGAATTAGACTTACAACACAAACAATTCTAGACCTACGCCGGTCCGTTAGGATTAGGAAAAACAAAAAATAAAAAATAAAAAATAAATCAAAATAAGTTTAATGGACAAGATCTTTACCAGATTGCTATGTGTTGCATTTCTAATCAATTGTCACAGAAGTGTTTAGAAGTTACACGTATTCCAAGCAATAAATTTCTTTATCTTCTTGCTTGAGTTTGATTGATTTGCAAGCTTCCAACCCATCCAATAATTGTTACTGTCTTGATCTACAAGCTTTTAACCCTGAGCTCTTCTCTCTGATCTTCTCCAAAACCTGGTTGCACTTGATTTGTGGCACCAATAATGGAAGTTGTATTGGTATATGTATGTACTTTCACGGCACATTAGATTTATGTATATAGAACTACATTGCCTTGTCCATTGCTCCAACATGATTGCGATTCAAATTATAAAGGAAACTTGATAACCAAGGTATGTTGATAATAAAATTATGTGATTGTAAAATAAGTTGTGACCCGTAAAATTTGTGAATTGTGATCGAGAAATAATACCTGACCTAGTAATTTGATAATTCATGATCGATAAAATAAATTGTGACATAAAAAATTTGTGATTTGTGACTGATAAATATTACGTGATAAATTAATTTGATAATTGTGATTGAAAAATAAGTTGTGACCTATAAAATTTGTAACTACTACTATAAATTGTACAATATTGTAATCTTAATATATTTAATTAATGAAATATTTTTTAATGTATTATTTAATTAATTAATCTTAATTAAGATCTAATTTTTGAAATTTTAAAATTATTTTATTAATTTTGAAATTGTTTATTATAACTACCTTATATATGATTTTTTTTCCCCTAATAGATATGTACTTTTCCTTTTGATGCTTAGCACTAGGCCGATCATGATTAGGCCCAATTAAGTAAACATTATAATGTCGAAGTGCCCAAGTTTATTTAAAGAAGTAGGGCCACCTTGCTTCAATGTTGCTCTGCCAACATGGTTTGAGGCTATGTTTGAGCTCCATTTTTTGTGAAAAATGAATTTTGTAATAATGATTTTTTTTTGAAGATTGTGGGAATAAAGAGTAAGAGAAAAAGTATCCATGTAAAACTATTTTATTGGGAGAATGTGGTTAAAAATAAGTTATGGCAAAAATTTATTAATAAAGTGTTGCTTTTACAACTATTTAAATTAGATAAAAAAAATATTTTATTTAGTGAAAATTACATAAATTTTCCAGGCTGTTGTATAAAATTTCTTATTTCACTTGCACGCTACAAAACTTATTAAGAGGTGTAGCATAATCTCTTACGCTTTGATTTTTATTTGTGTATCTAAAAGATTTGAGATTTTACTTATCAGAAAATTAATTAATCCAAAGTTAGGTTACATGTTTTCCTCTTAAATTTTTATTTTATTTTATTTTATTTTCACGTAAATACTTTTACGTTCTCGTGGTTAATTTAATTAAAAAGAAGAAGGGGGGAGGGAATTTGAAATCGTTTTAATTAGGAACTTTTTTGTTTTCCAAATTTTATTTTTATTTTTTGTGAATTTTGTTTGTCTACAAAATGTGCAGCACATTGTTGGCCCCCCAAAAAGTTGAGAACAATTGCTTGGAATACACCAATTCTGTGAAAAAGAGAGAGAGAGAGTGAGAGAGAGAGAGAGAGAGAAGAGACAAAAAGTAAAAGTAAATAAATAAATAAATAATGTACCTTACTTAAGCATAGAGTAATTCTATATTATGCATCTATAAAGACTAATTGCCCTTCTTAATTAATCATAGCATACTTACAAGTGTTATCCCAGTGAGAGAAGATGACAAAATTAAAGTCAAGTAAGATGATTTTAATTTACTTTGCATTGTTTGTTGGGTCTCTGGTTTTTTCTAAAGTTTCGTTTTTGTCTCAAGTTCTATCATTGAATTGCCAGTTTTATGCTTTGAATAAAACTCCTGAAGTAACCAAGAATGTATTACTTTTTTGTGGTCCCCTTACAATGCAAGGCACTTCAACTTTCTCGACCAGTTTGAAAACACTGTTTGTCACCCAACTTACAGCATTGTTTCATTTAGTCATCAAACTTTCTTTTCTTCTGTTTTAAGTTTTTTGCTAAACTTTCATTTTGATTGGCGAACAAATAAAAAGCATAATCTAGCAGGTTTGGGAATTGTGCCAGAGGAGCTAACTGAAGATAACATTGAATCTTGGAAAAATTGCTTGAAAAATTATTTGGTTGGGAATGGGCTTTGGGTGTTGTCTCTCGTCAGGAGATTGAACCAGATAAGACAAATAAACAAGTGCATGAAGAATGGAAGAAAAAGAGTTCTCTGGCTTTGCATGCCATTCAACTTTCATGTGGACTAGCATTATTTTCTAAGTTTAAAGATCCCTACCTTTCTGCTCAAGATGCATGGACTCATTTGGCTAAGAGAGCTTCGGGAAAGGCACAACAGCTAGTGCCAGTCTTAGATTATGTTAAAGAAAATCCAATTGAAGATAATGGTAATGTATCAATCTTTGTGATAAACTAGCTTGTCTAGAATCTTATCATATTAGAAGAAACGTGAAATTTCAATATTGGTTCTCAATCGTTAAAAATGAGCAAGTTAGTCATCAACCTTTCATTACAGTTTCACACTCAGTTCTCAAAGACCAAAACCATTCAAATCTCCATCACATTGTCATGTAAACTTGGGTAGCTATCTAGAAATTTTAAGTGAGACATTCTTCCAATAGAACAATGAGGTCGAGCAAATTTTCCCTTTTATTTATTTGATCTTTGTATTTGACACAACACCTCACATACAAGTTGAATTCATTGTTTGCAGGGTCGGGAGAGTACCTTGATTACAAGTCCTTATATAAGGCAATTGAAGAAGGTAACTTGAATCATACAGAAGTTTTCCTTCAGCAGAAGCCAGATGCCATTAGGGCAAGAGTTACATTACACGACGATACAGCTCTGCACATTGCAATTTTGTTTGGAAAAATTGCAATTGCAGAAAAACTTGTAGATTTGATGAACGCAGATGACTTACAAAAGATAAATGATCATGGTGCTACGGCATTGTCTCTTGCTGCGATCTGTGGTGCGAAGAAGCTGGCTAAGACAATGATGATTAAGAACAAAAATTTAGTTAGAATCGCAAGTGTAGATCATGAGGACGGGCAACTTCCTGTGATTGTGGCTGCATTGTATGGACAAAAGGACATGGTTCGTTATTTACACAGAGTGACGCCAGAACAAGAGCTAAGTCCTGAAAAGGGTGATAATGGAGCCACACTACTTAATTGTCTTATTACAGCTGAAATTTATGGTAAGTGAACGCATAATGTGAAAAGTCTAATCACACCCTGCATTGAGTCCATCAATTGCAGATCAACCTTATATTAATGCACATATAAAATTAGTCAATATCAGATATTAATTTCAGCCGCAATTCATAACTACTATTCATTCCTATCCATGGGACCAACTAGTATTACTCTTTATAAATTGATTTATTAATTTTTCAAATGGAGGCTCTATGTTTTCTGATTTCATTTTACTAAAAGTTGTGGTTGTGATTGAGATTAGGCATAATCCCCACGACACGGATACCTAATTCTGGCTGTTTTCTTAATGTAGATGTTGCTTCTAAGCTATTGAAAAGGTACCCAAAGCTGGGTGTTACCCCAGATCCTAGTGGCAATTTTGCACTCGGAATATTGGCTCACAAGCCCTCTGCATTTTATAGTGGGACTAAGCTTAAATTTTGGGAAAGATGCATCTACAGTTGTAAGTATACAAATGCTCTCCTATTAATTTCATTCACAAACAATGTACCACAAGAGCACATTTAGATAAATTTTATTTTTAGTACAAAATAACAAACGAGATATAAATGCGCATGTTGAACATGATCATTTTGAAAAGTATTCCTTGTCTGGACTTTTTACACAAGGTTTAAGAGTACGTTCACCTTGGGAAAGTCATCACGGTTCTCATGACAATGAGCATGTAGAAATGCAAACATCAAGTAGTATTGATGATCACAATATTCAAATTGAATCATCCGATGAAGATATGATCGAAGGGAAGGCACATGGAGGCCTAACTATAACAACGCGAGGTACATCAAATCACACCATATTCCTCCTCTTCTTGTTCAAGTCTTCTTCATACATCCTAAATTTAGTTTTAGAGGTACAAATCAGGCAAGGATGACTCCTGGACTAACCCTAGCTCAGCTAGGCCAGTCCATCCTGGGTCAAAATCATTTTTAATTTATTTTGAACATGTGGATCCATGGATCTTCGAAGTGGGCTGACTATGTCGTGGCCTATGATGGGTCCGTCTGTGCTTTCATTAAGTGGCATTAGGCTTTTATAACCCAGTACATTTTGACACCTCTAAGTAAAGTCTTGTTTTGCAGCTCTGGTGCGCAAATTCGATTGGGGGATATTGCAACTCTTTGGTATGTATTATCTTCCCATATATAAAATTTCTGCTACGTATTGGAAATCTATTACATATGATGGGCTATTTAACATTAGTTTTCTTAATTTTCAGTTCCAGAGATAAATTACATATATCAGAGGAAGTTAGTCCATGTCGAAGTTGCGAAACTCCTAAGTGTCGTGTTTGAAGAAATGCCACAACCGAGCAAATCACAGCTCGAAAAAATGCACATCGATCAAATAATATATGATGCCATACAACATGGAAATCTTGAATTTATAAAAGAAATGATTAAATGGAATCCTGAAATTATAAGGAAAAAGGATAAAAATGGAAAAACAATTTTTTCGCACGCAATTGCTTTGCGTCAAGAGGAGATTTATAGCCTTATATTTGATTTAGGAACAAAGAAGAGTATAATTTCAAAGAAGCATGATATTTTTAAGAACAATTTTTTACATCTTGCTGCAAAATTATCTCCTCCGTCTCAACTTGAGAGGGTATCTGGAGAAGCCCTACAAATGCAAAGGGAACTGCAATGGTTTAAGGTAATGATGTGTGCCCGGCCGAGCGCGTGTATGTGTGTGTGTGTGTGCGCACATGTGTGTATCCCATTGTGATTTTTTTTCGAGCTATCATATCTAAAGTTCAAACTATTGAAAGATATCATATACTTATTTATTCAATTTTATATCAAGTCCATGTTTGTCTCCTTTTAAAATAAAATTTTTTAATGTTCATACTATTTTCACCCATACATTCGTACAATAAAATAATTTGCACTTAAACCCAAAACTTTTCCTACTTTCTAATTATACATTCTCCAAAAACACTATTCAAAACATCATTTTTTCAAAATAATAGCGAAGGGCTAAATATTCTCTCTCTGCAATACATGTACAATTTTCATAAATAGGTAACAATTATTAAAGACGTAATTCACATAAATAAGTTTGTCTTGTTTCTAAAAATTTAAACTTTAGATGAGGTAATATAATAAGGTACTAATTAGGTAATGGTCCCCAGTTCAAGTCGTGTCACCCTCTATTTATGAAAAATTGTGCACATGATTTCATCCCAAAATGGAGTCTCAAGAGACTGACCATAGCGTATAGTTTTTTTATTCCATATTAAGAGGCGAAATTGGAATTCATGACATTTTATCTACTCTAATGCTACGTTGATCTATCTTATCCAAAATTTTGATTCATCATCTTATGTTGTTTCTTCCAATACACAGGAAGTCGAGAACATAGTACAACCCAAACTCAAAGAGGAAAAAAATGAGTTCAACAAAACCCCCGAAATGGTATTCAGAGATGAACACAAGAAATTAGCCAAAGAAGCAGAGAACCGGATGAAAAACACAGCAACATCAAGCATGATAGTGGGCACTCTAATTGCTGCTGTAATGTTCACAACAGCTTTCACAGTACCAGGTGGAAATAAAAACGACACAGGATTGCCAACAATGTTGGAAACTCAAAGGACTCCATTCTTGATTTTCATGATTTCAAATGCCTTGTCGATGTTCAGTTCGAGTATGTCACTGTTGATGTTCTTAGGAATTCTTAAGACGCGTTATGCAGAAGAAGAATTTCTCAAGTCCTTACCTTTTAAATTAATAATTGGACTGACGTCTCTGTTCTTTTCGATTGTTACCATGATGGCATCCTTTGGTTCTGCAATGTATTTGATTCTGCAGGAGAAGTTGTCTTGGGTTACCATTCCGATCATCGTCCTTTCAACAATTCCGATAGTAATTTTCTCCATCTTGCAGTTTCCTCTCTTGATTGAGATGACAATTCGGACTTTTGGAGCGGGGATATTTGATAAACCTAAGAAGAAATCTTGTTTTGCTAGGTTCCGAGCATGTTGGCAAGGTTGAATAAATAGTATTTGATACTACTGAGGAAGAAAAAGAATAATATCAATCATGCTATACGGTACTGCTGAATATGGTGTCCCAAATGTGCTCTTAGTTCATTTTGGTTTCTGTCATTTTCTAAATGTTGATGTATCCATCGTGTGTTGTTTATATGAATTCAACTCGCTGAAGTATCATTTTCTTTTATCCACACGCCATTGATGCATTCTATTTCTCCAGTATTTAATTAGACCGTATGTGCCTGTTCTGTTGGAATAAGACAAATTTGACCCTCATATTTTCTACAATAATTCATGTATTGAATCCAGTCAAGTGTCTCATAGAATTCCATTGTTTGGGAAATCATCTTGAATTCTTAGCATGTATAAATAGAACCATATGTTGCAGTATTTTATAACCCAAATTATCTTGCCTTCAAACTGGTGTTAGATTTGTGAAAAAAGAAAAAACAATGTCCTAATAATTTTGTTTCCTTTTGCCTCATTTTAATTGGAAAAAATTTGGTTATCATTTCATTCATCAACCGTACATACATCCATTCATTCATCCATAAATAAATCCAATCATTCAAATAAACGCATAGAACCAGCCTAGGAATCGTTCAACTATATAATCTTGCAATAAATCAAGAATTAGAATTTCATCAGAAACAATTGTAGACCTAAGCTGCTCCGTTAGGACTAGGAAAAACAAAACAAAAAAATTCAAAATAAATTTAATGGACCAGATCTTTACTAGATTGCTATGTGTTGCATTTCTAATCTATTGCCACATAAGTGTTTAGATGTTACACCTATTCCGAGCAGTTAATTTCATCATCTTCTTGCTTGAGGTTGATTGATTTGCAAGCGTCCAACCCATCGAATAATTGTTACTGCCTTGATCTACAAGCTTTTAACCCTTGGCTCTTCTCTCTGATCTTCTCCAAAACCTGGTTGCACTTGATTTGTGGCACCAATAATGGAAGTTGTATTGGTATATGTATGCACTTTCACGGCCCATTAGATTTATGTATATAGAACTAAATTGCCTTGTCCATTGTTCCAACACGATTGGGATTCAAATTATAAAGGAAACTTGATAACCAAGTTATGTTGATAATAAAATTCTTCTTATGACTTGGTCAAACCCACATTTTAACTCATCAAAGATTGTCTTTGCTTTTTATGAAGGGCTGACTTCAGTCGAAGTTTGACCCGATCAGCTTTGCTACATGTTAATTCAATTATTTCCATAATTAAATCCCACTTTTTTTTTTTTTAGCAGCTATCAAAGGTACCTAATCGGACTTATATAATTCACGCTTCCGATAGTTTGGGGCCAATATCTCGGATCCATATTGTCCGATCCAAATATTATTTTAGATTTATTCCACTAAAAGCCTACAACTGCACTGTCAAATTATATAAAATCGCATAAGGAATATTATTTCAATTCTCCATAGTTACATCCTTTTGACTTGCTATCTATATGTTCGACAGACAATTATTAAATAGTGACGGGTCAAAATGAATGTTTTTCCCTTTTAATTATTATGTCACTTAAGCTACCATTTTTTTCTAAGTTTTCTTAATTTACAAACACATTTCGGGATTATTCATGCATTCCCAAATCAGACTTAAATTGAAGAAAATAATTAAGTTGGTTCATTAGCCTATTTGCATAGGGAAGGATTTTGAAAATGAATGTGTTCACTAATTCGTCCGTTTTCAGTTCCTAACTTATCGAGATGTTTAACCATATAATTAGATCTTATTCGTTTTCACTAATTCGTCTGTTTTCAGCTCCTAACTTATCGAGATGTTTAACCATATAATTAGATCTTGAAGGATTTTGAAAACGAATGTGTTCACTAATTCGTCCGTTTTCAGCTCCTAACTTATCGAGATGTTTAACCATATAATTAGATCTTACTCGTTTGCACAACAAATATTCTAAAGTTCACAAATAGCGAACACTACCTCCTTTTCGAATTCAAGTAATCTATATATAAAATAGTTATTTAGAGTTTAATTCTTCGCACGATCATTCCATAGAATTAAGCTCTATCTAGATATTCTACCTGATGCCCTTCGAGACACATTCGGTGGACTAGTTTTACAACTCCTGAGATCGTCTAGCCACAACTCACGATCAAGACTAATTACATATTTCAATAGCTAATCCCATTACCTTATTAAAACAAAGTGTCAAAGTTTGCTCATTAGTCTAGGGCAATTAATTTTCAGTTACTATACAAATTGTGGATGGCTATACTTTTTGACGCGAGTACAATATTTTTATATCACCCATCAATGGAAGACACTCCGTTAAATGCTCAATAAATGCATCAATTTGTTTAAGAAAAACAAATAATAAATATAGAGTCAACATTCAAAATTTTCAGCTATTACAGTAAAATTTTAATTTTGTATAGTGATTTTTTTGGAGAATGTGTGATTATAAAAAGAGAATTTTTTTTTATTTTTTGAATTTGAGGGTAAATTTATTTGAAAGGAAAATGTGTGGTTGAAAATGAATTTTAGAAAAATTTGTTTTGGGAAAAAAAAGGAGCTGCTAAACTTGCAAAACAAACGCAATGGAGAAACTAATATTTTCTCTTTCTTGGCCTTTTTCTTGTAAGTTAGGTAATTGATTGGAACACTTGCACTTTAATAAACAGAGCGAGAAACTTTCAAAAGCAGTGCATTAAAAGTTGCTTACTTAGGACATCTCCAATGTTGGCACCAAACCATCAAATTGCACCAAAAAATGATGTAAAACTCCTCCAATGCAATACCAAACTTTGCACTATTTAGGTGCAAATGGTCCAAAGTCATTTTTACCTTTTATTTTCATTTCCCAAATAAATGGATTAAGAGTATTTGTGTCATTTGTGTTATATATTTTTTAATACAATAAATTATTATTATTATTATTATTATTATTATTATTATTATTATTATTATTATTTGCATTTAAAATAAATTTTAAATGTAAAAAATAATAATGAATTAATTAATTAAAACAAGAATACAAAAAAAATTAAAATATAACAAGCACGATTATTTAAAGTTAACCCCGAAATTTATTAAACAACAACATACATAAATTAATCGATCATTTATGGGAATAACATATGAATTTCGAGAATTAAATTGCAATGATATTTCGTCTTCGTAATATCATAATATCCAAATTTGAAATGCATTGCACTATTTTTTAAATGGTATGATTTAATATTTTTATTTTTGTAGCGTTCTTAATAATTGTACTATGTTTTTTATATTTATTAATGATTTTAATCTTTTCCTTAATTTAACATAATTATTTATTTAGTAATTTATGTATTTGTAAAATAAATAAATAATATTTTCAAATAGATAAATTATTAAGAATAAAAAAGAGAAAAAAATGGTTAAACATTGTTTATTTAGTGTAAGTACTGGTGTAATGGTTGGAGATGAATTTTAGTTTTGTACAAGGTTGGAGAAGGTCTTACTATCAAAGTGTGCAATTATCCTATTAAATGGTCCTTGATATTGCAATTTGATTTACGATATTAATAATGATGTAAAGTAAAGTGGTATCACGGTATAAAAGAATAATACAACCAACTATTTGTTGATTATGTGAATACCTGAATATTTGGAGACAATAATTCATTTATTCGATACTGAAATTGATAAAGAGAATTGACTTTCTTACTGAAAACCTGGTGAAGGTTGAACTAATAGGCCAGAGAAATTTCCTGTTACTATAATATGTAAGAAACCTCATGAAGGGTAGGTTAAATTAAACATTGATGGTACCCTTAAGGATGATCTATAAGCGGCTGGCGGGGGTGTGATAAGGAACAACTCAAGGGATATGTTCTGGGGATTTCAAAAATTTAATGGGGTTTGCTCTATTCTGGAAGTTGAGATAAAAGCTCTTGCCACAAGCCTTAAAATCCATTATCAATAACGATACTCTGGAACTTGGGCAGATGAGGATTCGAAGATTGCTTACATGTTAATCCAACAGAGAAATAGAAAAACGGATGTAAAATTACTCGCATATGGAGGGAAGACGGTAGTGTCGCTGACTAGATTGCCGGCCGTAACAAGGCTTTTCAAAAGTGAAAAGTTACTTTTGAACCTATTTGAATTTTTGTCTGAAAATGCTTTATCTAACTATAAGATGTTTTAGAGAAAACTGACCTGCACGAAGTTTTTTTTACAAGAACCATATACTTTAAACTGGTCAAACGGGCACTGCAAAGGTTGGTTATAAAGGAAAGTGCTTTAAAATGAGGTTACTAGATGCATTTGAAGGATTGTGAGAGAGCATATCTGATTTAATAAGCAGGGTTTGACATCGATTAGAATGACAAATCATATTTGAAGATCAAGGACAAGATAATATATGGCTTCTGGTGATATTTATAGTATATATTTGTTAGTTTTATCTGTCCTTATCATTGTATGCTTTGACATTGTAAAAAAGCATAAATTGTTTAGAGTCTTCATCGGTCCATTATTCCGCAAAAGATGTAATAGTGGAGGTGAGGTAAGGTGAAGTTTCACTCCTTGTGTCCACTTATTTGCAACATATATTACAGGTTGGGGAATCCAAACCTTATGAAGGTTTAGACTGATAACCTACTAATGTCTAAGTTGGAATGTCCTTAAAAAAAGGATGAATACCTAAATATTGATAAGTTTAGAAAACTCTCAATGCATAATATTTTATTTAAACACATCCTCTCTAAACCTAACAACCTTATGCCTAAAAAGGGCAAAAAAAAAAAAAAAAACGGTGGCAGCATAAGATGTTAACAGGGTATTCATTCCAAAATCAAGAAAGAGGAAAGGGGAAAACAGTAACGTAACGAACCAACTGGATCACATCTCTAGTCATTTAACCTGCTTTGCGCATGAGTATATGTTTCAGTAACTTATTATTACTTCTATTCGCTTATTTAACAACTGATTCCAGTATAGTTATCCATAACTAACAAGCTCAAAGTTCTAAATCAATACACATTTCAAAAAATTTAACATAAAAGTTACAAATTAAATAAAATCGTAATATCTGTTTTTCCTTTAAGAAGTCCTTGTCCTCAAAGGTGAATTTTGGGACAACTTTACCTTTAAATCTTTGTTCCTCTGTTTCACACTTATTGTTCTCCTTCACTTTTAGCACGTTTG